TTACAATTGGCACTGATGCTTGACCAATCTCTAGGCGTGCAATACTAACTTTATCAAGTTGTTGCTGAGTAACAATTAGAATGACCTCGGTTTGTCTTCATTAAGCTTTAGCTGGTCCGCCGCCATCCATGCCCTAATGTCTTCAATATGTTCTTGCACAGCATCCACGGCTTCAGTCTGGTTGTCCTCAAGATCCGTCTTAAAAGATAGATAGAGCTGAGTATCGTCTTGCGTAGGGGTGCACATCCGGAGGTGAGCCTTGGCTATTTCAAACAACTTGCTAGCGTAGATTTGGCTCTTCTGCTCTTTCTACAACGCCCGCTTTGTTCTGATCTTGAATAATCTCCTGCCGTTTGTTTAGACTATTAAGCCGGCGCAGACTTGCCTCTTTATTGTTTGGTAACACTGCACAGGATGGTCTCCTCGCCAGGGCAGACCAGTTTCATACCAACCCTCCTTATCTCGCATAAGCTGCTCTTATATTCAGCATACACGCTACTTGGTCGTTCGGGGCTGTGTCAGACAACCCAAGTACATCAAGGCCATGCCATAAGGGAACCATGAACCAAACGTGGTATACTTTAACAACACGTTTGATAGGTGTAGAGGCTCCTTTCCTGGCGACATGATGATTCAGCCGAATTTTGTTCATTCGGCAATCGGCTGGCGAGGCTCGCCGATTTTCGGTGCACTTTCTGTTTTCAGTTTCGAGTATTCACCGGCTCCAAGTATCAGGTGCCCTGGTAGGCGACGCTTTGTGCCCACATCGTTCTTTACGACTCCCGACAGCCGCGGATACCTTGCAATCATTTCTTGATACTTAGGGTTATCAAGGAAACTCAACTCTCCTTTATCCACTCTTGTAACCTCCACAGGCATTGAAAACTTTATATTGACGTCAGTAATGTCAATCATCGCCAGATTTACTTATCTTGTTGACGTCCCCAGTAACATCTCTATCTTTCGGACTTCTTGCTTTCGCTTACCACTTGATACACGGTCTAGAAGCGCGGCAAATACATAGGAACTTCCGGCACCTGTGTCCAACAAAGCTCTGCATTTTATTCCTTGGACTTCGACGATAACAACTGGATATGTCACATGAGTTGTTGGAATTCCTGTGGCGATAAGCAAGGCATAGGCAATCCTTTCTTGACGAAGGGATGTATTATGTTTTCGATTACAAATCTGACAGGTTGGGGGGTCGAGACGTATGGCATGGCAGACTACTACATTTAAGAAAATAAGTGAGTAGGAGTAATAGCAATGAAGATGAAAAGCCGACCGCGAAAGCACTATTCATTTCAGCGACGTTTTTCCCGCCGTCGCAGTCCCCGGATGATGAGCTCGCGCCGGGCTGAGATTGAATGGTAGTTTCGAAAACGAAGCACGAAAACGAAGCACCCAAAACTCGAAAACGAAGCACCCAAAAACTCGACACTGGTCTGTCCTTTATAAACACGAGACCAATGTAAATACAGCAGAAATCAAGCGCGGTAACAAGTATTCGATAACGAATCAAATGCAGTTCAAATCTACTCAAGTTGTAAATGCATTTCCGCCGCTGCGTGGGAGACCCGGTGGGAGGCTATGTTTTGGACGTGATCAGAAAACCGAGAACGCCCAAACTTGTGCTTCGTTTTCGAGATTTTGGGGTCTTCGTTTTCGATCTAGGGTGCTTCGTTTTCGAGATAGGGTGCTTCGTTTTCGAGTTTTGGGTGCTTCGTTTCCGAGATTTTGGAGTCTTCGTTTTCGATATAGGGTGCTTCGTTTTCGAGTTTTGGGTGCTTCGTGCTTCGGTCTTCGTTTTCGAGTGCTTCGTTTTCGAAACTACCGAGATTGAATGCATTGGGCCGTAAATATCAAGTTAAAGGCCCTTTAATCACAGATGTACACCAGCAAATTAATCCCTTCGAGTAGCTTGAGAAAACAACTGACATTTCACGACGCCGCGACTGGTTTCCTCACGAAAGGACGCGCAGAAATTCCATACTGATGACGTTCGCCTTCCAGATTTCGTCAGTGTGGAAATTTGCGCTCGTTATTCAGACGTCGTCATTTCGCAGGGAAAGCAGTGGTGGCGTCGCAAAATGTCAGCTGTTTCCTCATCTCTGCTGCTGGAAAATAAGTTGCGTTTTTGAGCTTACCATAACTGGAGCAGGTACAGGAAATTTTTCTTGAATTAGCCACTCCTCATGTCTTTCATGTAAGGCACAAAGAAGTTCCTGTCATTAAAGACGCGTTATGTTAGTTAGGAATAGACCCTAAAACATTACGCCCTACATCTATTCTTTCTTGAGCCACAAAAAGATATTATTTTTTATTTTTACCTACCATTGGGAGAGTTTTTTCTTCAGATCGAGATCTTGCCTTAATCCTCTGCATGCATGTTTCAGGTGATGTCCTCAGGTAAACTAGAATATCATTAAACATTAAACAGTTCAATCCGACGTCAGTTCACAAAGGTCTCGAGAACCTTAGGAACGAATGAGGTTGCAGTTCAATCAACCGTTTTAAAAAAATACTACTAGAACTTGTAATTTTTCTATGGAGGGAATAATACAAAGTCTGAAGAAAGTCAGGCTAAAACTAAGGCCCCGTTTGTTATGGAGAAAATCCTGGGTGTAACGATCACCTCTCCAGCGAAGTCAACTTTTTTTAAGCAAGCATGTATGGCGGAGCTCTCTCGCGCGCGAAGCGCGCGCATTGGAGAACCATAGGTAAGAAAATTTGGTTATCTACGAATACAAGAAAGTTAGCCCTAAAGCTAGGAGGGTAACCCTACCATCACAAAGGAGTGAACCGGCTGGGTGGGTCACCCCTCTAGCGGGGCCAACTTTTTGTTTCTAAGGTAAATGATTTGCCACATTTTGTAAGAAGATGTATGGAAAGTGGACTCGCCAAGGGCAGCTTGGGTAGGTAGGTGACTGGCCATAGATTACCATACCTCTCACAAACAAGAAACCTTACTTAATTTCATTATCTTTGTTTAAAATTGGTCCTATTAATCACAGACTGGTGTGAAAGTCACCAGGTTGGGTTTAATGTGCATTAGTCTCTGTACGTTTCTACTTTCCAATGAACAGGATTTCTCACAGTCTTATTGCACTTCTTTTCAAATCTTTAGGATAACGTTGTATCTTCAGTGGCATTGTTGGGCAAACTTCTACTCAAATATTTCAGCACTTACTTATCAAATCCAGTTGAGGTTGCTGCCTTTTTGTAATCCAGTCAAACCACTCATGGTGCACTGAATGCTCTGCAGAGGACATCATTCCACTGGAAAAACAAGAGAAACGACTTTTTTAAGCATGCTGAAAGGATAAATAACTGTGCTCCACAATATTTAATGCCAAATGACCACCAACACCACCTCCACCCACCAGCTCAAAAAAGATGGAAAATATTTCGTGGACAAGGTAATGAAAACAGAAATATTATATCATTTTATAACAGTTTACGTTCTCAACAAATATTTTTTTAGCAATTATTTTTGCCTTTTAGAGAAATAAATACCGAATGCAAAGGCATCTGTTATAAATATATGAGTTATATCCACACTCCATTTAACCTTGTGACTAGCACTAAAACATAGTAAATAGTTTAGTTACTCAGAAGATTAACAGTTTACATTATCAACAAATATTTTTTTAGCAATTATTTTGGCCTTTTTAATAGAGAAATAAATACCGAATGCAAAGGCATGCATTATAAATGCAGTTATAAATGCATCAGTTATGTCCACACTCCAATTAACCTTGTTACTAACATAGCAAATAGTTTATTAACTTAAAAGATTAAGTGACTGTACAGAACTGTGTACCTTTTGCAAAGGTTGTGCTCAAAGCAATAGTATCCACTGTAAACACTTCTTTCAATCATTTTCACAGGAGTCACCTATTAAAATGATGATTCAATCAGTGAAAACTGTTTTCCTAACATTAGACACAACACATGGGCATCGCAAAGGATAGAAATTGTCAGATAACCTGGCTAGGGTACAGGGCTGTGCGCTAACAGAGTCCATTGGCCCATGGCGCCTCACTTTGCTCCTGAGTGACTAAGAAATCTTAGGTTTTTAGGGTGCAAAGAAAATCATTTTTACAGCTTGCCATTCGGGCAAGCTGAAGCCAGCATTTACTAGCTCAGACGTCATTTCAACTAGCCCCAAAACCTTTTTGACTAGCAGAATTGATTTCACAGTTCTTCTGTTATTCGAATTTCTCAAAAAACATCACTTGCAGGCAAGTTAATGACAGAATTCATTAGCCCGATAGCAAAATCCACTAGCCCTGGGCTATTGAACACTACTTTCTTTGCACGCTGGTTTTTTTCATACAAATCCTATGCTAAGCACTCTGGATTTAACACATTCAGAACACCAGGCTGCCGTCAATTTTTTGTAGAGCACAGCCTTGGGGTTACAGGGTAGCTGCTGCTATCCCCGGTAACTGTGAAATAACAACAAAAAGCATAAAATTGAAAAACAAAATAAAAAGAAATGACAATCACTTACGTGTGGCTTCTTATGAATTTTCATGAGGCTTAGAACAGCATAAGACTCAAACAAATAGCTCCATCTTTGGCAGTTGGTGTAAAATAACTCCTTTTTAATGACAAAACAAAATAATGGCAGTTAAATCTAGTTTGGCTAAGTGACATACGATTGACCCTCTCTGAAAGGGACATCTTTGGGACAGGCTGGTGTCCCTGTTAAAGAGGTGCGTGTCTTACAGAAAATAAACTGCAAGGAGTAAAGAAGGAAGGGACCAACTCTTATGTCCATTTTAGCGGGGTGTCCATCTTATAAAGTTGTCCATCAGGTGAGACTTTACTGTATAACTTGTAAATTATGAATGTGTTTTGTTTATACAAAAATGATAATTGAGGTAATGTGAGTAATAGTATGCAGCAATATTATTGTATATTAATATAAACTCACCAAAAGGTTTTTACCACCAACATTTTGCCACTTGGCAACTGGTTCTTCCAATACCTATGAATATAAAAATACTAAAATACTAAGTTTCATCGACTTGTTTAATGACATTTTTAGCTTCTTAGTTACTTCAGGGACTGTGTAACCTTTACAAGTTTTATGGGTACTCATCAAGTTTAGTGATTCTACTATAAATTAAATTAAATTTTTACCATGGGTACAATTTAGTGTCCCTGTTATTGTCAACATCCTTACTAAGGAACCTGGCAGCATGATTTTTAAACTATACACAAATCTATCACTGAGATCCTGTGACAGTGTAAAGTTCAGTTTACCATTCCTTGCAAAAAAATCCAGGAAGAAAATGTTGGTATAAATTGAAGGAGATAAAGTATCATCTTTTATTTGCTTATATTTGACTTGTTTGTTTTTTCCTGCCCTGATTATCTGTCCTTAAGTGAAGGAAGACAAGAAAACAAAATAGACATGCACTTTATGCAAATTAAAACTTTCCTAGACTCCTCAGAGAATTCTTCAATGAGTTTTAAATTTACCACCTTTTTAAAGTTCTTTCCTGTACATAACTTACTTTTTTGAAAAAAAAGGAAGAATTGAAATGGATTCCTCTCACCTCAACCATTGGATTTTTCCGAAAATAATTCAGTAAAGTTGTTTTTCCACTTCCAATGTTACCTTCCACGGTAACCTAAAGCAAAAAAAAAAGATTCATTTTCAGCATCATCTCTACTGGTGAGCAATACTCTACCTTAAGGTTATGAGCAGGTGCGTGATTCAATTATCATTATGATAGAAGCCCATCCAAAAATTCTTTATGTTAATAATCCACATTTTAATTACTGTATTTCTTCGATTTAAAGCTGCCCTCAATCAAACGTCGTAGATGGAAGCAAAATTACCAATAAACACTGCCCTCAAATAAACACCGCACCTAATCAGAAGAATGTGGTGTTTACTCGAGGATAATAAGAAAAACTTCGGTACAACTTCATAATTTACACCATCCAGACATTTATGATTGTATCTCAGCAAAATAAGGGAGACAGTGGAACCTTTAAATTACATAATATTTACAACTGATTTACAATAACGGTTGTCAGTGATTTGAAAAAAGTGATTTCCAAATTTAATGCCATCCTTGAATAAATGCCACATTGGAAATGCTAAAAATTTAATAAACGTCGCGGCTTTTAATTAATCAAATAAATGTGGTAACTATTATTATTATTATTATTATTACTATGTGATCCTCTCCAGGTTTCTGGTATTTTCTGGGTATTCTTAACCATGTCTCAGCAGCTTCCCACAGCTTAAGGTGATGTTACAAGGGACGATTTGCAATGACGATTTTTAGCACAACACAGCGTTGCAATGTTAGAACAATGCTGTAACCATTCCAAACAATGTCGCAACATTGTTACAACGTTGTGTTGTGCTAAAAATCGTTGTTGTGAATCGTCTCGTTTAACATCACCTTTACACACACAACACTTCCCGTAAGATATGAACAGTACCAAGGATGACTGACAACTATGCACTTCCAAAAATTTTTGAGGCAGTCAACCTCCCATATCAGGCTTTTGCAATTTTTGAGAGCACCGATCACAATGGGTATTACCGTCACTTTCATGGCTCTATGGATTCTTTTAATTTTGAGTGCTAGGTCTTGATACCTTTTCCAACTTCTCCTCATTATTATTATTATTATTGTTATTATTAATATTATTATCATTATTATTATTATTATTGTTATTATTACCATTATCATTATTAATGTTGTTGTTGTTGTTGTCAGCCAAGAAAAAACATTTTTTCTCGCACAACAATTTTTCTGAACAAATTTTTTTCTTTCATCAGCATTAAGTATTCCATATATGATATAAGATATAAGCTTAAGCTTGAATAAGCTAACTTTTTAATGAGCTTCAAATGTGCTGTATACAAAAGAAAACTTGAATAGTTTAGTTAGTTCAATAGTTTGTAGGTGGTTTTCACGTTACGTCATCGCCGCCATGCTGGTGGACGGTAAACAAAAGATCGCTCATTAGCTCGCTTTGTTTGTCCACCAGCATTTGTTCATTTCACCATTGTTATTTGTGTCTCCCGAGATTGCATGAAAACCACCTATATCAATGACTTTATATATACTGATGCCATACCGTAATGTTTTTCTTTGGTGATTTCTCCATCATCGAACACTCTGTATCCATGGAGTCGACCTCATTTATTCCAAGCATGTTCACAACAAAATGTTCTGATGGAGCGATTGTAAACTGTCACAGAGATAATGTCATAAAAGCAATGATTAGAATAGAACGGGGAAACGAACAGTTCTTACTTGGCACAAGAATCAAAAGTTGGATTTGTCAAAACAGTTCTTAGAAACTTAGAAACAGTACTCATGCATTTCAGATCGATGTTGATTCGATCAATTTTGGCGCTTTTAGGTTAATTTCAACCACGCGAACTATAGCAGATCTAGTAATATTTTACGCTGGAGAATTGATCATCACCACAATATAAACAGTGAAGGCGTTATATCTACTGTAAAATAGATTAGAGCTTACCAGCTTTCCTCTTGTAGGACAAATACGAGCACAATACAAATATGGCGACAATGAAATTAAATTTTGGCGCGAAGCTCGAGTCTCGAGAACTTACATGACAAGGGCCTGGAGACAATGTTACGCTCGGCCCAGATTTCCTGCGGTACAAGTTGTATTTTAACTGGTGGGAATTGTTTCGGTTTTTCGCTTAATTTCAACTCTTTTGCCAATTTTAGATAACGTCGGACTTCTACCATGTTTTTGAGAACAGTTTCATGGTAAAAAGGACTAAATTTTCGAACCGGCAGTGGTCCTTTTTGGTCCCTCGGCGTCAGAGGAAAACTTGTCTACAAGAAACGCGTGTTCATTTGCATGTACAAGTGAAGTTTTCCCTCCCGTCTAGGTTCGATTTTTGTCGTAGTAGCCAGTTGCCTATATTTATTATCACGAAGAGCTCGAGGATGCTAGGTTATCCTGAGGTTATCGGATCTTCCAATAGCCTACCCCGTAGAGGTCCTTAGGGGTTCCTTAGGGGTTCGTTTATCACGGGGAGAAATGAATGCGCGACGAACAAACCCCTAAGGACGTCTCTTCCAGTTTTTCAGTTGTGAAAAATCTATGTGATCTGCCTGCGATCACAAATCCGTTTTCGGATTTTCCCAATTGGACGAACTGGTTGGATTCCTTTTTTTTAGAACGGGCTTAAAAAAGTAGGACTCTCAGGCTACGTTCACACGGGATGGGACGAATTTTCGACAAGCTGGAAAATTTGAACGGACACTCAATATTCTCACAAGACCGTTTGATATTTTCGCTCTGTTCTCACGAAATTTTGAACTGCAAAGCGTATAAATTTTCTGTCGTAATTTCCGTGTGAACGGAACGCCTGAACGCACGAATTTTCAAGCGTCCAAAAATTCATCCGGTGCCGTGTCCAGGTAGCCTCGGTTGATATTAGCCTGTATACAGACCCCCTACCCATCCCCTCAGTAAAAATCGGAGAGTAACAGCCAATCTAGCCTGCGTAACAAGCGTTTCTGTGCGGTTTAGGAGAAGAGAACGAGGAACGAGAGTCAAAGACCGCGAGAAAAGTGGCGCAAACGGAAACGCTTACTACGCAGGCTACAGCCAATCAAATCATTTTCCACACATTCCGGGAAAAATCACGTGGTCTCCATACACAATTGGCAACGGTAAATCGCAGACGCCCTTCTCCGCTTTTTACTACGGGCGGCGGGGACGGGGGTAGGGGAGGGGGCTGTATGTTTTTGGTGTTATATGTTTTTAAAACAACGAGATCAAAAAGTTGAAGCCCTTTTAAAGAACAAGTGATTTTCAAGGCAGTCTAATCAAAGATTGATTTTGATTGGATCAATTAAGTGTTTTATTGACAAAATCTAATGAATATTAAGCTACAAAATTATTGATATCTACAACGTTGTCTGTTGAACGTAAGAAATGAGAGATCTTCAATAAGACTGCAAGGTTTCTAAAGGAGCCAAAATTTTAAAGCATCTTAACTTTGGTAACGTTTTATCCATTTCTTGTGCTCAAAGTAGAAGAATATAATTCACGTACGGTGGGTTTCACGTCCAAAGGATGTGGAGAGGTGATCTACTAAAGTTAAAAAAAAAAGGTTAAAGGCTTGTTTATAGTGGAAGGTGCACTTAGCTTATCCAGCTAGTTTACAGGCACACCACTTAAATACTTAGAAACAAATAATTCAAATACAAATGACAGCGTTAAAAACCCCAACTGGCAGGAGGCAACCAGTTGGCTATTTACAAGCGTGGCCGAAGACTTGAACTTGGGACAATCGAGGCACAAATCCAGCAAGTGGTGACCCGGGACTGCCAGATTGCGAGTCTGACGCAATGACCACTCAGCCACGCTGCCTCCTCCTATGTCTAATGATGTGAAAGCTACGAGCTAGGAAGGGTATTGTTTTTTAAGAGTTTTGTTTAAGATGGGGTATAGAAATATGACCTTTCCCATCACCAAATTGCTCAATGGATAGTTAACAATAGTCTAGGGCTTAGTTCCTGAAGGGCTGATAAGTGCTAATCCAAGACTAAAATTTGAATATCTCACTAAATAGAGTTTCAGGTAGTAACTTTGTGTAATCATAACTAGATTTTGGAGTTGAGGCTCACCATCATATTATAAGCTAATCTTACAAACTGTAACCATCTTTCAAGGAACCAGGCCCTAGGTTAACTACAAACCAAGGTACTTGCCATATTTGGGTTGTCATGGTAACTACCGTATTTATTCGATTAACCGCCCTGGGCGCTTATTAAATTTTTGGACCTTGAGAGTGGGCGCTTATTCGAGGTGGGCGCTTATTCGAGGCTGGGCGCTTATTAAACTTTCACCATTTTCAACAAGTGTAGTATGTATATTTTGCAACAAAACAGTCAATGGTAATAACAAAACGCGAAGATGTGACAATGCAATGTTTCTGCAAAACACTCTGAAGAAAACTCCGTCTTCGGGAAAGTCTCTTGTTAGTACTTATTCCTTTTTTGGGGGTGGTGGGGGGAAGGGGGTGGGCGCTTATGTACGCTTTAGTGGAAGTGGGAGGGTGGTGGGGTGGGGGTGGGCGCTTATTCGAGGCTGGGCGCTTATTAAGTTTTTCTACCTTCAGGATGGGCGCTTATTCGAGGTTGGGCGCTTATTCGAATAAATACGGTAAGCCTGGATTGCCTAAAATGTATTGTCTTCAGAACTCGGGCTACCTGTTGTTGGATCATTATACGTTTCTCGGAAACTGCCTCCCCTAAGCCAACATTAACACTTACTTCAATCGCTTGGGGCAAAATGTTGGCTTAGGGGAGGGGTACTGGGTTTCCCCTCAACCATGATACGATTGACATTGAATCTAACAATTATTAGGATCAAAAGTTTACATAAAAATTTGCCTTCTGATAATTATCAGTTTTGCATCAAACCAACTGAAATATCATTCATCTTTTGAAAATGGAAAGCTTGCCTTAAAATGGCAAATAAAATGAATGGTAAAGTCATTTTTAAAAAGGTCCTACTATGCTCAGAGAAATTTAATTAAATAATCATTACTGAATAGAACTTGCATAATGAATACTGTGGAGCTCAAAAACTTTTAAATTTACAAGTGCCACTGCCAAAGTAATAATAACAATAATATATTTTATTATTATTGTAAAATCTCTAGAATAAATTTTGATGAATAATTGATTATTCCATCTTTGAGGCATTTATACCAAGAAGAAGTTGGGTATTCGTTTCATAAAACTGGAACATATCTTTCAAGCTTCTATTTCCATCAACAACCTGAAATAGATAAATAATGTAGAATGTAAGAGGACATAACAAGTAACATAATAATTTTACTTCCAACAGGGAGAAAATATATTTTTTTTGGTTACCATTTGCTTGGGCAACCAGTCAGTTCACGGTTTGAGCAATCGAAAAAAATAACTGATACTGGAATGGTAAATTTTATTTGGGAATTGCATTTAACATTTGCATCAAACTCATGAATGGTGATGACCAATAGAATGCCATGGCACAAAGAAAGTCAGTTTTACTCCTTGCCCCTTGTGCAAACTGTAGCTAGCACGTTTATTAAAGCCTGACAGTTATTTTAAGTAGCCCAAAAAATTAGGACTATTGATAAATAATATTAATTTAGCATTATTTATTCAGAGTACAAAACAACAATAGCTGTAATAATATTTTATTTCACTCTGTCAGTAGCTTTTGATCCAGGAATTTAAATAATTTGTCTTAAGGTACTTCTATAATTGTATTTCCAAAGAACCTCTACTTGCCAGTCAGGCAAGTTAAGAACAGAACTTGCTAGTCTGATCATAAACTCCACCAGCCCCGTGCTATCACACACAACTCTCTTTGCATGTAATCTTCTTTATGTTGTACATGTCAATACATTCCATGCCAGCAACACTTACCACTACTGGAGCAGGAACATGAAATTTGCTCTTTTTTATGAGCCATTCTTCATATCTCTCATGTAAAGAATCGAGTAATTCCTTTAAGAAAAGAAGAAAAAAAAATCATCACAATTTTTTTTTCACATCAGCTAAAAATAAAACCATGGTTCAAAAAAGGTTAACTAGGATGCAATAATTAATATGTGAAATGTAATAAAATAACTCTTACCATTGATACTGATGTTTCCTCATCTCTAGATCTTCTCTTTATCCTTTCCATACACTTTTCGGGTGATGTTCTTAGGTATACTAAAAATCACCATAACATTAGTTAGACAAGAAATATATTACTGCCAGAGTATGGCCATATTTACAAGGTCTCACCCCACAATTTCTTCCAGAGTCTCAAAAGTTAGAAATGTATTGGAAGTCATCATCATCATCATCATCACCATCATCAATGATAACAACAATAATAACAAAATTGACAATAACAATAATAACAATAAGTGGACAAATTTTCTGTGGGAAATGGGTCAGACAAAGCCACTTATAGTAAAATAGAGGCAATAGAATGGTGACTGGAAGTTGATCTTCCTCTATCAGGGCTCTGACTCAGAAAGTTCGTTATCATACTACAGTAATATTGCTAAAACAAAGGCATTCAATCTCACTGTTTCAGACAAAAAAAAAACAAAACAAATGGTTGCTATTAATGACGTCTGGGACTTAAGCATTCTTGTTGTTGCTTGAGCTTGGTTTTGAGTTAATTGGTGCCAAACAGTGCTACATGTAAGACAGAAAAGAAGGACACACAAGAGGAAGGCGCTGTTCTCAGTCTCAAAGTAGATTGATTGGAAAGTTTTTGTTAACCTTGTACAAACTGTCTTTTTTGGAAGAACATGCATTTATGCATTACTTGCCAGTAGCTATTAATATTATGGTGTAAAAACAGCACAAAACACTTTCTGCAAACCTATTAAGTCTATATGTGGCTTCTCATGGGACATGAGGTATTCAAACCACTCCTGAAAGACTGTGTACTCCAGTGTTGACAATGTACCACTGTAATGAAAGATTAAAGGAAGAAAATAAATTATAGAGACAAAATGATGGAGGATACTAAAATCAGAATACTTCAATTCATTCTACATGTACCATTATGTTAGCTACATAAAGCAAACTACTAAATCTCCACCTTCTACAGGTTCAGCCTTTTTAAGTGACTGCTAATTGAGTTGTTTAGCTTTTATCACTTAAGCTCTCCCCTGAATGCCTCCAGAACCCCCTTAGTTCCCTTAAGAACACTTGCTACGATTAGCACCAGAGTCATCTCCTTACAACATACTTCTTGAAACACTTTGAGAAGGCTACGAACCTGCTGTAAATAGCGCTTGGTTATGTTATAGTTTTACCTTCTATGAAGATTTTCCATGAAGCAGAAGCTTGCACTGTATGCACTCCTCTCCAGGAGCCTCACAGGTGAAGTCTAAGGCACAAAGAAATTGAAACTGTCAACAATCAATAACACACAAGATGGATATGGGGCAAAATCCTAATAACTGTGTGGCATATACACTGTAGGTAGTGCTGACTGCATGTTTGTAAAGCAGGCGTAACTCACTTTCATTAAGGCAGTGCTCAGAGAATAGAATACGGGGAGGGGGAAAGCTCTAAACCTATGTGCAGGGCTCAAACAATTTCCTGTCTCGTAGTCTGACTGTACAAGTGAAATTAACATCATTAGGCCAATGGGCAAAGGTTTGGGCAAGTCATTCTCTTGCAAAATGACAAGCTGGAATTCAATTTTTTTTTGGCCCTGCTATAAAACATGATAAAATCTAGCTAAGTGTAAGATCATGTCTTATATGTGTTACATGTCAAAATAAAATTCAAGTTAAATTTTTATTTTTTAACCTTGGTTGATTCTCTCTTTCTTTTGTCTCCTAGCCATTCATGAATTGGGGCGAGAAGACAAAGGAAATTGAGAATCAACCTAGGTTAAAAAATTTCAACCTGAATTTCACATTGACCTGTAACATATATGCAAGAAAACGAATTTCTTGGTCATCTAAGAGTGAAAATAAATAACCAGGGACCACCAGGCACTACAAGAGCAAAGCCCAAGTATTAGAAACTCAGGAGAAAAGGAAATCTGAAAAGACAATCAACCGGTGCTTGATCAGTGGCTTTAATGATACCTGAGGCCTGTGATGTACTTCCATCATTGTAAGAAGAACATACGACTCAAACAAGTAACTCCACCTCTTTGGATCACTGTACATAAGATCCTGTTAAAAAACAAAGAATAACAAATAGTGAGGCACATTTTTATGGAATACACTACAACTCAGTCAAAATGTTTTACAGTAGTAGGCAGGATAACCAAAGTAGCAGGTGGCAAAGCCCGTTACTTTAGTGATTTTTATATGATATTATCAAATTAATAGCATACTTTCAGAGTTGGCAGCAAATATCTGACTGTGCCCAGGGGGCATGAGCACATTTCGTTTGTATTTTCCAGCACTTTTCGGGACATTTTTTTCCTAAAGCTTTCTGAGAATAAGCTTGTAGTGGGAAAAAAGATCCTTGTGCTGTGTTTAGATGTAATAATAATTGCCTTTTTCCCGAGAAATAGACAGTGAAAGACCATATTTCTAATACTAAACTAGAAAAAGGCGATCATTAGTACATCCAAACACGGCACAAGGATCTTTTTTCCCATTACAATCTTATTCTAAGAAAACTTTACGAAAAAATGTCCCGAAAAGCGCTCAAAAATACAAACGAAATGTGCTCATGCCCCCTGGGCATCCTATAATACTCCTTAATTCAAATTAATTCAATATGGCCGCCGTATCGGTAAAAAGGTCTATTTTTCCATATAATATTATCTATTTATGAAAACTAATTTTTACCAGAGTATTGGCACCACCAACATTCTGCCATTTCTTCACTGGCTCTTCAATGACCTGGTTAGAAAGTAAATATTCCTTTATCAAAGTAGTCTTGAGATATCCACCAATATTATCACAAATAATGTATAATGATATATAACAGTATTTAAATGCAAAGAACCATGCCCAGTGACCAGTATCACATCTCTGATCCCTAATCCAATTTCGTTCTTTTTTCTTAACATGACAACATTAAACTAACATGATTGCTATTAAATCTGCAATCCAGAAATTGTCCATTAAGCTTGTGACATTGCATGTATAGTATACCTCCACTGACGAGTTTTCCTTGAAGTACTTCAAAAGACTTGTCTTCCCACTTCCAATATTTCCTTCTATTGCAACCTAGTAAAAGGTAGTAAGAAACAAGAGTGTATTTATATTATTATGAGGAAAAACAAGAAGTGTCTTAAAAACAGACACAATATATCCTAAAAAATATACTTCCATTAAAAATTTAATGGTGAATAAAATGACTTGGTGTCTTCAATAAGATCATAGCCTGCGCGCAGACGAAATTAAAAACTGGTTAACTCCGTCTGCGAAACAGCGCCGAAATCCTTGTTCTGGAATTCGAGCTGTGTACCCAGATTTGAGTGCGCGCCACGATTGGCCTGTTAAAAAAGGCCTTTGTTTTGTTTGTCGAGATCGCCAATCAGGTTGAAGGGGAATTCGAAACGCACTTCCGGTAATTCGTTGAGTCCGTTGGGGGTCCAGAACAAGGATCTCTGCGCTGCTTCGCAGACGGTACTAATCAGAGTTTAGTTATCATCTGCGCGCAGGCTATAAGATCAGGACTCAGAAAAAACTTGTCCTATGGGAAAAAACTTGTCCTATGGGCAAGCAGCTCCCACATTTTGCTGGCCCAGGGCCACTTCTTGCTTGTCCCAAGTAATGATTTTGTTCTGACGATGATTTGCCTGGACCCTTGCCCATTAGGTAAGTAAGCTTCTAAAGTTACTTGCCCAGCATGAAAGTGTATAAATTTTGTCCCGAACACTGGACGGGACTTTTTCAAGCCCTGAAGATGAACTTAGCTAAGGTGTCTCACTGTAGTGTGTTTCAATTTTTTCAACTTTTTTTTCCTTGTTGTAAACTCATTATCTTGTGTTACCAATCCAAAAACAATGGAAAATATTTTTTATTTTCCTTTGTTGTAAACTCATTATCTTGTGTTATAGATAAAAATCCTAAAATGTGATAAAAACAATGGTAAAAAATACTTTTTAAATTTTTCACATGTATTTTTTATCTATTATAACTTGCTTTTAAAATATTTGAGCTTGAAATTGCACGTCGATTTTTTTTGTTAATTCATAAGAAATGCATGCAATGTTTTTACAATGTTTTTTACTGTGATATTTCTTTTTCCTGAATGACCATTCTCCATGGAAACCATTACAACCATTATTGTTTCCAATCATCTTTTTGATAGAAAACCTAAAACATAATTTTACTTACAGATCTTTTACACAGAGAAAACCTAAAACATAATTTGAAATTTTGAAATTTTACATTTAGATTTAAAAATTTGTCATTAAGCAAAAAAAAAGTAAACCAGGACTTTGAAGAAAAAATGTAAGACTTCTTTTGCAAAATTACCTTGTATAAGTCCCTGGAGCATCAGTTCAAAATTTTACGCAATTTTAAAAACAACAACATGAGCAAGGAGTCAAATTCTGCAGTCCTGCAGTACGTTGTTCAAAACGTGCTATCCACCGGATAAATCACATTGACTATTCAGTGAAAAGGTATGGACAGGGATTTATCCGCTGGTCTTTTGTTCTTCAATGAAATCAGGTAAAATGCTCCGATACATCTAAAAAGCGCGAGCCTCTAGAAGAAGGAATTACCAAAAAAACCTTCGGGAATTGCAAAACGCAATGTAAGGCTGAGATCCATGTCCGCGTTCAACGAAGGCTGACGACTATACAAAGTGCGCAAGAAATCTTATTGCTGCTAACGTTATGACTCATCTCACAGTTGCCAAATATAAAGTCAAATCATTCAAAATGAACACAAATATCACTAACCAAACAGAGAGCTTTTTTCGCCCCGCATTTTCGTGTGTATAATTCACTTGAGCATCAGTTCAGGGACGATAATGCATTCAGCTTTTGAAATACGCGCGCAAAATTTCGACCAAGCGAAGCTTGAGTTCTCATTTTTGCCCGAGCTTGCCCGAATGACATCACATCGCACAGCGATAATGGGAAAAGTAAAATGGATCTCACCAAATAATTAGCCCGTGAACTGAAAGAGCAAAAAGGACAAGAATTATCACTGTTACCTCTCAAACTTGTCTTTGAAGCTCTTGCTAACGGCGCGAATAACGAGCTCATTGCATATTTTACGAGCGTCATTATCCTTCAGCCAGCGGATTCCTGATAGTACATCACACCCTGATCACACCTGTCATTCTGATGTCACGTAAACAAATCACAACAATTGTGTCACGCTACACACAATCCATTGTTTTTGCAAAGATCTTTACATGTAGTTTTCTAAAAATGAAATAAAACAAAATACATCATAAACGTTGATACAGGAACTCAGTGATGGTTAAAAATGATGTCCCATACACACGTACTGTGTCTACAGTCTTGCAGAATATTGAATTGTTTTAGAGATAACAAACTGGATTTACTTTACTGCACGATGAGCATTATAACTCTCTCCCATTTATTTAAAAGAATATATTTAATGCGAGTTTGACAGATCTACAAAAATGATCGAATAAAAGGTAACATGATTGTAATTTTTCCATCCCGAAAACGCAAAGATTTCTTACCTTTTTGGACGATTTACGTTCACCTGCCATTACTTTTGTTTCCGAGTTTCTGTTTTCACCTCATTTCGATAAAAGCATTACCGTTTGAACACATGTTTTCAGTGCGATTCAAAGCAGACTTCTTTCTAAACGATTGCAATCAAATTTTCACGTGTATTTCTTCGACGACCCAATCCCCAAGAGTCCAGAGCAGTGAGAAGTCTGCAGGAAGTCTGGGAACTAACAAGAAAAATGGAGTCCGGACGGGAGGGATCCTCTTTGTTTCATAGGATAAAAGAGGGTATTTCCGACTGGGTTCTCGTTTCTCCAGTTTTTAAAGTGGCTATTTATTGGCTGGTCATACTAACGGGGTCATTTCTCCACGACTTTCTTCCTTTCCCTCAATCGTATCTCTCAAACAAGAGGAATGTATTCAACGTGTACTTTGTTAAGCTGGGCTGGGGTTGGACTCTTGGTCTTATGATTCCATTCATGTGCTTAACCTCTCTTGTATACACCTCTTGCAAACCGTTTGCGATGTTAAAGCACCTCAGCAGGCTGGCCGTGGGGACGTTTGGTTGGTATTTTTGGGTGAACTTCTTTGTATTCATTGAAGAGCAGACCGGTTTCTGTGAAGGAGAAGAAACTCTAACTTCTAAGAGGATTTGCCACCTTCAGGGATTTCACTGGGATGGATTTGACATATCAGGACACACGTTTCTCTTAACCTACAGTGCCCTTATCATTACCGAAGAGCTCCAAGTCAAGCAATATAAAACATGGTTTAGCTCAACAAAATCAGAAACTGACGCACCTCAGTATCTCAAGCACCTCAGCCCCCTCATAGATGCGTTCTTCACCGGTTCAGCATTGTTACTTCTTCTATGGGAGTTCATGCTTCTTTGCACGACTTTGTACTTTCATACTGTTCTACAAAAGGTTCTTGGTGCTCTCATAGCCTTCTTTACGTGGTATATTACTTATGGAATTTGGTATAAAAATGGCCTTTCACCTGGGTTACCATGGACACCTACGTAGACGTAATTGATTGCACCAAGATGTGTTTAATATTAATGTACTTACATTTGTTAACCGACCTAGCTACCCAAACGTCGTCTTGCTAACAGTTGTGTTGCGGAAACCCCTGAGTTAATAAAAGTTACACTGAAAGACATAGCCCCTGAATTATAGGTAGTTCATTTTAAAAAGAATGTGTATTGGTCATGCTTCAAACATAAAAAGGAATACATATGAAAAGATAGCGACTGCACACCCATGTATAGTAGCAGCTTCAAATCAACAACAATCAGCAACATGTAACTTTGGGCAAGATGTTTTTAGAGTGACTTGATTGTAAATTCTTAAGTTTTATTATTTTACTACTGTAGTGTCAGTCTTAAAATCATCTGAACAGTGAAAAAGTTATTCTGTCAACAGTACCTAGAAATGTGGTTATGTTAATATCGTGACTGCAACAGTTGCATATAATTTTCTCGAGCATTACTGAATGCACTGTGAATGTTTACATACATCACTTCAATCGAAAAGTCTTTGAATGTCCCAGATGTAATTCTCTTTGTTAAGACACACTATTACAACTACTGTATCTGATGTGAGGTGGACATACAAAACAAATATTTATTCATTGCAGAAGAAGTTGTATAATTTTATGTACCCCCTATTTAATTATTTTTATCAGTAGACTTTTTTCCCATAAACGTGAAGACGATTTTTAAATATATGGAAAATGGATACAATCTTCCACATTCACTACTTAAGATTGATGTGAACTCTACAATGGCTATTGTTGGGTTGTTTTGTTTCTTATAAGACTCCTACACTCTCAAAGCACCAAAAGTAAATAAAGGCTCATGTATTTACTGGAAGCTAAAAAGTAGTTATGCTTTTACAGATAACAGGAAAACCTAAAAGGGTGTCACTAGTTTCTGTTTCTTAAAGAATGACAGTTAGCTTGAGAGATTACAATCACTGGACCTTTTTACTGATGCTATGCAAAACTTAGCAATTACTGAATGAGGCTGAGTATCATCTAAAGAATTATGGAGATCAAGAAGGGTGTTATTCGCCTTCGCTGCATTCTGGCTTCATTAACCCATTCGCTCCTGGAGATTTTGCCGAAAAACGCGTTTTGAAGCTAGTCAAGTGGTTTTCTGGTCACTGTCGTGCTATAAAGAGCTAAAACTTACCACAAACTGGTTTACAGGTCGTACACTTGGCGGCCTTCTGATCCAGATGCAAAATATCAGCTTGCGAAGTTTGGGCATGCGCAGAAAGCAAAATTTTGACAGTTTTTGGGTTTAAAAGTGACACAGCAGTCTTGACTTTTACTTTTCGCTTTCTCTCCTCCCTTCTTTTTTCGCTTTTCTTGCATCATTTTTTTTTTCTCTTGCTGGGCATTTAGTAGGCTTCATTTTGGTGGGAAGAGTTTTTAGGAAAGCTTTTAGGATCTTAGGATTAGGTGAAAGGAAAGGTAGGTGGGTAATGGAACAAGATTTTCATGAGGATTTTCAGGTCCTTGTCACGTGGTTTTTTTGCTTCTTTCTCCGGTGTCCTTGACTGAATTGTGCTCATTCTGGTATGGTTTGAAAGATCTCTTCACTCTGCACAAGTTAGTGAAGAAAGTTGTCCTTGACCGTTAAAACTGATGAAGTCACAAAGGGTAGAAAGGACCTGGATCCGCACGGGCGGTTACGGGCGGTTCAGGGGCGAATGGGTTAACATTTTATTGTGAAACTTTCTTGAGAAACTTTCCCCGTTTACTAATGGCAATCAATGAGGAAAACTACATCTTGTAAGATAACACCCGAGTCACCCAGGTGCTCCTCTTTGCTGATTAGCCAGAAAATTCTTATAGTAAACTTTCACCACGAACATTCTGTTGTCCCAACTAACTGCCTCCAGGTCTCCAAGGATGTATCACTACCAAAACAACTCAATCTCATCCTCAGGTCTTCTTGGTTAATGGTTCAATAATCTGGCAATTTGGCTGCACAATTGACATCATCACTTCAATATCGCAAAATTCTTACAAACTTGTTTAACGGTAACTGGTTCTGATGAATTATGCGTGTGATTATAGCCAATCAGAAATGGAGAAATATTGTGAATGAATAATAATACATCTTCACAGGTCAGTTTATCATAGTCAATTTAGTAAACCTGTAAAGTTTTATAAAAATTGGCCATGAACAACTAGAACATAAAGGGCCCAAAGTTACAAAGGTCTGCCACGAGACAAGTGCATTATTGGCAATTTTGGGTTAGTAATTTCCAAGAGTTTGCGAAGAATTTTATGAAACTAGGCAGTTTCATTAAATTTAGTGTGATAAATCGATCTATGAAGAGATATATTGTTTCATTCAAGGATATTAACAGTTGAAGTTGCAACGTCACTTAAAAGGTCCATCAACGGGGTATCCATTACTGTGAATCTCGCAAAACCGTGAACACCAGAAATATTTATGGAATGTTATGTTATTGTGTTGCGAGAAATAAGCCAATAAAGCACACGATAACTAAACTGCAAACAGCAATGGTAATAATATTAGTTTGTGATTTTGAGGTTGCTTGCGTATCCTGAACTTTGTGATTGGCCAGTACACAATCAACATTTCTGAAATTTTTCAGGTGTTCACAGTTTTCTGAGTTTCACAGTAACAGTACTAATGTTGGAAACCTTACACTCTGAGTGCCCTCTGCTGTATGGTGGCCATCACTCTTGAACAGTATATGGTGGAAAATGTTATAAATAAGTAGAGTTAGCCACACAATTTTCCTTGTCTTCTGGAGATGGGGTGGAGTAGTGTAATGATCCTGCTCGGAAGGTGTTGGCTTGCAATACTCCCATCACTGATATGCAATAAGTCAAATTGGAACTGTTGCTGTGTTATCACATTATTTATATTACTCCCATGACTTCTACTGATACAACCAGGAGAAATTGGGTACTGATTCCTCTTGTTCTTTAAATGTAGTGATGACCATGATAGGAACAGGAGATGAGTGAAGCTTTAACAATCAAAGTACCTGTCTATTACAGACACTCTCAAGATTGTACCCAAAGATAGTCAACTTCAAATGACTTATACCTCTAAAATGCAAACACTTGGCTCTGTCCCTTTGATATCCATACTAAGGAGGTTTCACTGTCTAATGTATGCAAATACTTGACACATTACTCATTGAATTTTCATAGCCCCTCAGGGGGTAAGAACACACAGTTTTAGAACCATTATAATTAAAATTAATACAATTTAGGTGTACAGGCAGTTGGATAAAACTGACAAAGAATAAGTCTGTCTCTCTTTTTCTTATTGATTTCAATCCTCTTTGCGATAAGCAGCTGGTAGAAGTTGAAGAATGATAACCCAGATGGATGATAGGACAATGTTTGAAGAAGTAGTAAAAGTGTTCATCGATTGTCCAAGACGACTATTGTTTCATAAGGTGAAAGTTCTACAAAGATGAAGCGATAGTCAAAATTGCCACGTGATCCCTGAAATAAAAGAAAACAATGGGCACATTTCTGTGAAAAATTTACAGAATTTGCATATTCTGTCCAATTATTTCAAATACTGTATGTCTGTAAAACAAAATTATTTTAATAATGACTGCTTACATGTGAAGGTACAGGTAACTTATTTCTATCCGTAGCCATTAAAATAGGTATCCTGCATAAATGGCTATGCTACTGGGTTGAACAATTGCCATTAAAAAATCTGTGAAATCATGGTGGGGGTTCATGTCATCAGATGGGAAACATGTTTGCCTAACTGTGAGCAGAAGTGCTCTTTCGTAAGATGACTTAATTTCAATAAAAAAAATGTTTCACACCAAGGAAAAGGAGGAGTTTGGATGGAAAATAGTATTGTTAAGTGATACTAAGGAAAAAGTTCTAAATGCAGGCAGTAATATCATTATTTTGTATGTGGTAGTTGCAGAGGGGGCTCCTTCTCCCCCTCCTCCTTCCATGCACCCACCACCTGCCATTATTGATTATTGAAAACGCAGGGCATTTGTGCATGGAAAAATGATTTAAGGAAAAATTTTTAATTTGAAATAATAATTTACACTCTGTTAAAGAGGGGAGACAATCCCTTTGTCCAGCCTCACTCTTCCCACTTCCCGGCCAAATTATGCTTTTCTCCATTTTTCACTACCTAATATGTGAATTGCTGCATGAAGGAGTGGGCACTGAGTGTCACTCACTTCATTTACAGAGTTACCTGTTTTACATCAGCATGAACTGTCCCTTTTCTTTTTGATCCTTTTACATAAAACTTGACCCGCATATAGTTTTCACCTTCCACTAAATACTCTTGGTAACTGTATCATAAAGGAATGGCAATGAAATAATAAAACATCTACAAATCCAAACAACCTTATAAATATATGAGGAACCTGCCAGACTCTATATCAGAATTACTTGTTGCATCATTTTAACAGACCATCATATGGTTATGTGATTGGTACTCAAGCCTTTGACTGAATACTACTTTCAATAATTATTGATACTGCCTTTATGGAAATTGTGCTTATTTCAGCAAAATACCATTTTGCATAAGGGGAAAAATCCCAGTAAAAAAGAGAGAAGAGGCAATTGTATTAACATGAGGTTGTACCACCACAGACGATTCTACCAACAACTGAAAACTGGGATATAGTCAAGCAATGGAGTTGTTTCAATGTAATAGCTAATAAGTCACTAGATCTTATTTCCAGCAATCAAAGTGATCATGTGAATATCAGCTGTTAATTTTATTAGTACTTTAAATGCCCAACAAAAAAAACCCTGGCCCCCGTTGTTCAGACGTTGGATAGCGCTATCCACCGGATAAATCACTATCCAGTGGGAAAGTATCACGGAAATCGATAATGCTATCCGCTGGATAGAGATTTATGCGGTGGATAGCACTATTCAGCCTCTGAACAACCGGGGCCTGGTTTAATAGTACTTATCCATATTAAACTGTAAAAAAAAAAATGTGCTACACTTCACTAGTGAGAGAAACAGTCATTAAAATTGGGTTTACAGACAATATCTTCAGCAGTGATGGTTACTATTAAAATGCAAACTTAGCCTCCATTTAGTAGGTGACAGTGTACCCTACCTAACATGTCTCCTTCTTCCTCTAGATGTTGTTTCTCCATGGCCCATTATTGGTTCTCCAATTGCTTCAACAACCTGCAAAAGTAAGAACCATTAAATTAAAGGCCATCATGTCATTGAGAAGCACTGGATAAAAATAATGCTTAACACATAAAGTGTACCAACAGGAAGCAAGGATGTCAAGCAAATAAAGAGCAATCTTCCTAAAAACCAGGAGAAAAAATGCTAGAAATAATGGGCAATGATGCTAACAAAAGAGAGTGTCATTAGAAATACCTAATTGCCAACAGACAGCAGCAATACTCAGGGGCACGCGAAGACTGTTTTCTGTAAAATATCTCTTCAGAGAAGCAACTAGAATTTTCTATTTCTTGAGGACAACTAAAAATTTCCAGATGACCGTTCCATTCAGGTACAATATTCAAAGCTTACATTAAATTCCCTACAATTTTCTGAAGTTTAATTTTTGACATTTCACACCCCAGGCTAGACTATTTTTCATAGGAAAACGAAATCTAAAATTTTCGGATTAAAAAATGTGATGGAGAGAGGCATCAAAAAAATTTTCACTTTCGTAATGCGCTAAATTGCATCTCAACTTTTCAAGAAAATTAATAATACTGAAGACCTTGCAATTTCGAAAAGACTTAAGTTCCCCTAGGATGACTGAACAGATACAAATTTTATAGCGTTGCTAAGATTTCATTTGTAAAGGTCTAAAAGCACTCTGGATAGCCTAAAAACTGTTTTCAATGTATTTAGCAGGAAATCGTCGTTGGGTGTCCCTGTAATACTGGCAAGGACCAAAAAGAGCTTGTGTTCTATAGCCTGTGTACAGCTGCCCGGATTCTCTCATTTACCAAAAGAAAGAGGGCAAATGCATGGCTGCTTTCAAGCTTACCTCAGCATTTGCTTTAACCTTCTTCAAAGCATGTGCATAAACCCTGTTGGGACTGAAGCCCAAAAATAACTCACTTACTAAGAACCATAACAGTGCACCTAAGAAAAAAAAGAGAAAACATTACCTCTTAATTATTGTTAGGAAATGCATTTTTTTAAAAAAGCCAGTGGTAAAACAATATTGGACAAAATATAACCATCACAAATCCTTATTCCGGTAAGGGTTTTGAAAATATTGTAGATTTATTAATGGTCAGTTGGGTGAGTTGAGTAACTTGGGTGACTCTTGGAATTTAGGTCACTTGGGTGACATGGCTAATGTGGGTAACTTGGGTCAGTAGGGTAACATGGCTGACTGTAACCTGAGATCAGGCATTTTTTTGCTTCTTTGCTTCTTTGGCTCGGGAGGGAAAAATAACGGCTGATACATTCATTTAACAAGCCATCAACCACCCCCTAATTTACATAATCTAACATCTGCTTGACCTGTCATGCTATTAGCCAATCAGCATTTAATTACCAGACAGGAATCAAACTTTGGTGGGAATAATGTCTCTTTCGAAATGAATTTTAGGGAAAAGAAAATTTTTAAGTACGTTCAGATGGCGCCTCCCAAAAAAAATTTTAAATTCTTCTTTGGTGATGAAATACTACCGTACCATACCTAAATTTAACAGCTACAAATAATAAAGAATTTACTGGTAAAAGCTTGTTTATTCTGTGGCGAAAGCAGTGAAAAAAAATTAGGCTGAAGCACTATATTTCACGAACTGAAAAGTGATGGAAAGCAAAGATTGCTCAGAATAATTTGCAGGTTTCTGAAGAAGGAAATTACAGTCAATCCAGGCCAAGATTCCATTCATGAATTGATTATTTGAAAAGTGAACCTGTTTGTTGCTTCTGTAACTTGTAGCCGGTATCAAATTACATTCAAATGATCAGTGAAATTTTGACTGCAATTTTTAGTAAACCATGAAATGGACAAATGTTTCAATGGATGAAATTTCTATTTAGACATTCTATAAATTCAAGAAAACTGAGCCGGCAGAAATTTCATAACGAACTCGCATGTGTATTCACTGCTCATTTATATGCAAGCAAAAATGCAGACTGAAATCAACAACAACTAACGGATGGCGGCGTTTTGGCTGATCAGAATAGCGCCAATCATCCGTATTGTTTCCTATCCAATCAGAAAAAAGTCCAGATTCTGGCTTTTTTGCATGTGATCTGTGAAAGAAAAGTATCATGCCCTCTTCCCGAAAACAGATTACAGAGATAAAGGGAGAGGACATGATCGCAGGCTAGGGTGACTGGGGTGACTAGGGTGACTTACATGTAGGTGACTAGGGGGAATAGTGTGACTAGGGTGACTAGGGTGACCAGGTTGACTTGGATGACTAGGGTGACTAGGATGACTAGGGCGACTTGAGTGACTAGGGTGAATAGGGGGATACAGTCCTATTCACGTTGGAGCGATGCCAAACTCGCATAAGTTACAAGCAAAATGCATGGCTTCCTGATTTACTTACTAGTATTACAGTAAAATATATTTTACTATAAACTGTAAGAAGCTGTTCATGAAAACGCCAGGAGGGTGACAAAATTCAGTTTACAGGTTTTACAGGTAAAACGTATTAGTAGGTTTAACCTTCACATATCGATAAAACCACTGAAAAAGTTTTTTTGGTTTTTAAAAGCAAATTTAGTCCTTAGCTACTTTATTTTGCTCACATGTTTATAAATAAGCTTCAAAGTAAATTAAAACGGTTTTTTATAGAATAGTTTCAAATACAGAAAGATTAACAAGAAGAAATGGCCCCGCAAGAGGTAAATAAATGCTTTCAAAAGTTTTATTTGCCGGCAAGAAAACATGTTAGCCATTTGGCCATTTGCGCACCAAAATTGTAATTTTGCCAGCAATAAATGAGTTAAAAATCATCATGTTTGTGTTTAATTATCTCACTGTTTTAGCATATGCTTCATGACTCAATAAATTTCTATGACTAGCCACTTCCACTTCAGTTGTTATTTATTATCATTAATTATGGGGTATTGTTACATGTCAATAAACCACAGCAAATATTAATATACTGCCAATAGGGATGCAAATTGAATGTAATTTTAAATCAAGTCAATAGATTTGGTGTAATTAAGTTCTACTGGTTAATTTTAACACACCAAACACTGAAAATTGCGGTATTATATAAAAATAAATTGAGAACTTACCAGTAATTGCAAAGCCAATAAGAATAATACCAAAGTAGCTTACATCTTTTCCAGCTTGAACAACTGGAATCAGAGTATATTAATCAAAATAATTGAGATTACAATGAAAATAGGAGAACACGAATGGGTGCAATTTTTAAAAACACAGACAATATATAGCACTTTGAAGATTGCATCTAAGAGAGCCAGACGTTTGCATCTTCATATGAAAAAAGTAACATTCCTCCATAAAATGCCCGCCCTCATTGTTAGTTTAAATACAGTAGATTCCTGATTTCTCGAGCCCTCACTTTTTAAATATTTTTTAAACCTCCTGATAATTCAAAACAATTTGCTTTTCCAAAGGAGGTTGAAAAAGTCGACTACTTTTTCCACATCCTTTGATGATGCTAATTTTACGATTTCACACCAAAAAGGAACCACACAAATACATGTAAAACTTTCAAAAAGAAATACCTTTTCTGAGGGCGACATCAGGGTTTGCAATATTGAGGTATTTTTGAAGCAGTATTTCGGTAATTTAATTTTAATTTGGGATATTGAATTTTTATCATTATTCTAGACCTGCAGTATAGCAGGTTTAATCTACAATGTGATTGTTGTGATATCCAATGACGGGGCTTTTGGATCTCTGTTATAGTTATTCAAGGTCCTCTAACATATTCTCACAATAGCTGATGTTACTCAAGACGTTGGCAAAGTCACTACACTAGAATGATGCACACAGCTTTAAGCAAGTGAGACTGACCCAAACTTTAATGCCAACCGTATGTTCGCAAATGTAGCTTGCGTCACAGGCATAATCTAAACCCAGGTTGGTAACATCTGCGAAGCAGCACCAAAATCATTGTTCTGGTCCCCCAACAGACACAATAATTAACTGGAGGTGCACTTTGAATTTCCCTTCAACCTGATCACCCCCCCCCCCCCCAACCCAACCCCACAATGAAAAAGTGTCATTTTTAGCCAACCATGGTGCATGCGCAAATCTTGATACACAGCTGGGGGTCAGAACAAGGATTTCAGAGCTGGAGCTCGCACTCGGTCTTCCCAGAGATTAAGTTTCGAATGGGGCGCAAGGCTACCGAAAATAGTACGGAAATTATCCAATTATTATACACTTATTTTACCTTTTGCTCCCACCGTCAGCTGTGTCTGTGGTTGCTCGCGGGACTCAACCAGCTCTTGAAACACAGACGATCCTTCTGCCTTTTTATCACTGGATGTTTTCTCGGAGAGGAACCTCGCAAAGGGTGTACTAGAAAAGAGTCCACATCCTGCACACGCTGACAGACGGACTTGCAGCGGTTCAGCCGCTGGTGCGATTAAGTGTTTGGCAAGACCTCTGTTCTTTAAAATCAGACGGAAAGCAGAGCTTTGTCTTATAATAAAGAGCCTTGAAGGAAGACGTGTTGGTAAAATTGCGCTAATATTTTTAAACGCAAGCATCGCTTCAATATTTTACGAGCAACATAGACGCCATTTTGGATTTCAGCGTGCAATGCTTGATGGGAAGACTGGTCCAGACGTGTCCTGACTCCCTGCTAGAAATCCCGGACTGTGTAATTCCAAGAAAAAGTGCTCGCAAATTTGGGTATACCTCGCAAGGTTGTTCTCTTTTTAGGGTTTCAGAAATGCTGTTCCATTCGCTACTAGAAGCTGCCTGAAATTCCAACCGGAAGTTTTGGCTTATATCTAAAGCGTGCGTCTTTGCTTAAAAATAAATGAATCATTTCTACGAAAATTTTTAAGCCATCTATTGTTTCCGCTCTGATGCATGTTCTCAGAAAAATGAAACAATAAAAGACATTTGAGCTTTAAATTTTTTCTTTTTACGTTGCAGTGTGTAATTCTCGACTTCTGACTGAAATAAAGACAAAACACAACCCTCTTTAATGCATGTAATAGCAGCTACAGTGTTTAGGTGTTAAGAGTAAAGAAGATCTAGTACAAACAAATTTCTTCTCTAAGCCTTTAGGTCGAATGGAGGAAGATTGTTGAAAAATCAAGTCATTTTATCGTTTCCAATCATTTCCGCTTAGCTGTTCAGTGCCCTTTGATCTTCCTAGGCAACTGGCGACGGAGAAAGGAAAATCCTACTCCTCCCGACTGTAGCTTAATTGAAGAGTTTGATTAAAAATAAAACACAAACAGCGGTGAACAGCGGTGATAAACATTGTGAGTTTTCGCATTTTTGTAAACTTGATGTTGAACAGCCTCTACTAGCAGGGAATTTATTATCAGGACCTTTGGTCTCGGGTGAGGGGGGGTACAATTGGGTGGAGGTGTGCACAGTTCCTGAAACCCTTTCCCTATTTCAGAACAAAATCTGTGATTTTCCCTACCCTATTTCAGACCTGATCAAAAATTTCATACCCTATTTCAGACCTATTTCACTCCTGTTCGTATCACCTAACGATGAAGAAGTAGCTTCTTCTAAAACACATACCCAATTCAAGACTAGCGTGCACAAACCATACCCTATTTAAGACCAAAATGGTCAAAATTGGTACCCTGTTTCAGACCAAACGGCCAAAAAACCATACCCTTTGGCGCCGCACATACCGATATAGCCTATATAAAGGAGTACCTCCCGAGCCTTTGGTAATGATTGAGCAATGATAAATTTGGTAATGATTAAGCAATGATAAAAGGGATAGATGAGAAGAGACCCTAGCACTGCTGACACCCCCCCTAACTCCCTCCCCCACCCCGCCATAAAAAATAACGTTTGAAGTCCCCCAGCTTTATCATATTTCCCTGAAAATGAATACTAATATTCTCTTCTATTGCAACGTGTTTTCTTGGAAAGACATTTACTCGTCGATGTAAGGTTATGGCAGCTGTTTGTAGAATGGTCTGAAGAACTCGACGGGAAAAATCCCTAGATGGACTTCCTGTGCCCTTTCATTTTCGAGGCTTCCATATCCAGCTCCAACAAGCAGGACTTTCAGACTAGCTATGATAGTTATACGAATAGGGAATGGGATAGTTTTGACCAAACGTTTAATTCCTAAGTGGTGTTGTCATTAAAGCTGTCAGAGGAGGCCAGGTAAGTCAAGAATTGAGAGAATTCATTCTTGATCAACCGCCTGGCACTTACAATAGTTTTACGCCGACATTTGAGTTCAAAATTCAAAGCCGCGTCAAGAATATTTCGTTCTTAATTAGTTTTTGGTTGTTGAACTGCATTGTTCAGTAAAATACAGCAAATTGTATCGGAAAATTTGTTTCTTTAGTTGAGTAGTTGAGTACATCAGTTCATCACTGGGAATAAAATGAGCAAAATTCGCTCTTATTTGATGCATACAAACACGAGCCGCCTTAAATCGATTTTACCGATTTCAGTTCAGTATATGTGTTTATAAATATGAGAAAATGAAATTTCATTTCGTCTTCCGGGAAATTTACAAGTTTATTCACCATTAAAATTGATTGTGCTCAGTTTAACTTACCCTTAAGCCTTTATGGCAAAGATTTCTACGATTGAATACTGTTACCTTCCTCGTCAAATCCTTTAAACGGATCAGCCTGAAAGATCCATACGTATCCGTTTACCCACTTCGATCTTTTTCCCGGAATTCCAACCACTATAGCCATTAAGTTGAAGTACTAATCAGTTACAGCAGGAAAATAATATTAATCACTTAATGCTTTTTTATAATAGTCAGTGGTATAAGCTGTTCAGTTACCGGAAATCAGTATAGTTGAAAATAAACTCCAAACTATAAAGAAATCCCAGATGAATACTACACTCTTCTAATTGAGACTAGTTCACGCCTAAATCCGCATAACACGACAAAAAATAGCTTAAATCGGCTGCAAAATCAAATTATTTATCGGTGTGATTACTATTCATGTGAGACCACGCTTTTCCGGGAAATTGGCTGATAAATCGTAAACATATGTATACTTTGTTATTGACTGTTAAAGACACCCTTGAATAGCTTTAAAGCTTTCGTTTTTCAAGTGTTTGTTCGCTCGTGAGGCAGTAGTCCATCTCACCCCTTTAAAAGCAGGATGCGTGCTCTGTCTACTCAATTCTTCAGTAGTTGTAAGTGAAGCACGTGCAGTTTTAATTTCTAAACAATCAAGTCGTAACTTCTTTTTAGAATGGGGGAGGCTTGTTACCGTGTGCCTCAACTAATCTTGAGAAAGAAAAGTCGTTAATTGTATGAATTACCGGAAGCTAAAGGCGGAGTCAATAACTTGCATTTTTGTGAACAGCTTTAGTAGATAGCGACGCAATCTGCTAGTTCAGTACAGTACAGGAGGTACCACTGAAGCTGTCGCCAAGAAATCTCAGTGGAAGCCGAGGAAAAGTTGACACCAAGAACAAGATAGTGAGCGCGGAGATTCTATGATAGCCATATTTCCCAATGTTGTCAGTCTATGTTAAACTAGGGGTAAAGAGGAAGTAGACGAGAGAGCGTGAAATACAAAGACTATTCGTTCTTTTATTCGAAGAAAAAAGTGTTATAACAATGGGTTTTCAGACCCAAAAGCTTTTTTAAAACATGTTTAATTCATTTTGCTCGTGCGAACTAGAACAAGGTCTAAAATCTTAAAAAACCTTACAACAAGCGTCTAAGTATGCAAATCAGCACACGTGATTATTTTCTTTGCAGATGTATATTCAAAACTGAAAGAAGCTTATGGAAGCATTTTTGGGGGAGCCAATTTTGTTCAAGTTATCCCGACAGAACAGAAGCCGCGGGATACGAATCAAAACGACACTTTCTTACATTTCTTGCTGATTGTTCAGGTACAAAAGGTGAGTTGGTTTAAATTTAGAAATCAACAATGATCATTTTCCTTTGAGCCTTCATCATTTAGTTCTTTAGCTGTGCTCAGATGTTTTCAGTCAGCAAAGTAACGTTACTAGTTATTCTTCGCTGGTTGGATGTATTAATGTTAACGTACCTGACCAACAGTCCCAACAAAGTAAAGAAAAACATACCACAATAAAACATGCACATTATCCCTGACTTTTGACTGCGGTGAAAGGATGCATTTATAATTTGCTTCATTGTTGCGAAACTAGAAAATGAACATTGTTTTTCCGGGAAACATTAACTACAAAATTTTCCTGGGAAATCAGATGGATAAGAGCTAAATATTTTTGAGGTGTAAACGACCTCTTCGTTTCGATTCATTAGTTTTTCAAAGTTGTAGTCAGCAGAAAGAGATAGATCAGAGGGATACTTCTAAGTGTGAGAACTGTTCTGTCAAGCTTAACAGTATGTAGGAATGTGACGTGAACTGCCGAAAACGCCTATTAAAAAAGTGCATTGCTAGATCCTAAAAGTCGGTATAAGTTGCACCTAGTGAGACAACAAGGGCCGAGTTGTTCAAAGCTGGGTTAAGATAACCCAGGGTTATTGCGAGATTTGAATTCAGATTTGAAAGCTTAAAAAGCATTTCAGTTTTAATTCTTTTTGTCCACAAGTTGATCATTGGAAGGTCTAAAAATAGCACAGAAAATTATCCGAGAAAATGCTTTTGAACACAAGAAAAAGAAACCAGGGTTAAATTGGACCCCGGGTTAAGCGCTATGATCAGCCTTCGAACAACTGGGCCCTGACCGATTTCCCCGAAAACGTTTCTCGAGGCACTACTTCCGCTTAGTCGTATCGGTTCTCAGGAAATGTGTTTCAAATGCAAACATGGAGAGTCGACTGAGTTGTTTATCTAGAATGGGAATAACACTATAAAACACAGCTCACCTTTAATCCTCAATAAAGTACGAGCACAGCCATTTTCTGTTAGAATATTGTTACACAGACGCTGTTTTATTTTTCTTTTTTCTTTTTCTAAAGAGGAACTAGAGGGTCTGTGAACAGGATGTATAATAATTAGAATATCTTGTTTCAGGAGAAGGTTGAGGGCCAAACTTGTAGCCTAGTGGCAGATCGGGGTTGGTTTGTGACCCGTTCACCGTTCACACTGTTTTCTTTTGTTATATTACCTCAAGTTTCCACGAGTTAGTCCAGAATTAGAACTTTTATCTCAAGCTGCCGTATCTAAGTATGAGACATACGAAACTCTGGGTGGGTTTGCAACTAATGCCTGAAATTTCTCCAGTATCAGTCATCTAGCCGGTAGCTGAGAAATCAGTTAGTGTTTTTAACTAATAGCTGATATCTGGCTCCAAACTGAAAAGACTCACGAGAGGAATGGGCTGAAATTGCACCTGAAAGCTGAGAAACTCCAAGAAAAAGACCAGTCTGATAACTAGGGTTAGATACATGATGCTCCAAAATTTGAGCATTGTGCTTTTGAGCGTCACACTTAAAACAACAGCATTATGCCTAAAAGTATGCTCGAAAAGTAGCATTATGCTCGACTGATCTTGGCAGTATTTGAGGCCCTTTTCCATCCCCGCAGACATAAATACAATATTTTATTGCATCAGTTACAAATTTCGAACTGGCAGCCATGACTGATAGACAGACAATTGTCCAGTCTTAGCAGCTTAACAAAATGATGCAACGGTGCAACAAGACATTGAAAGTAGCAATCAAGCCTTTGAATATTTCAATCCTCACTAAAAGCACTTGGAAGTAAAAATTTCTCAGTACAGTTACGGAAATATATATATTTTTTTCATTTTCATTTTCTTTAATTTGAAAAAAAAAAGCCACTGTGCCGACATTATGCTCGATGCTCCAACTTGATGCCCAAAATTAAGCCGGCATAGCAATGTATCTAACCCTACCGATAACTAAGATTCGATTACCCCTACCGGTGTAGACTCTCACTGGGTGTAGTAATAGTGACTCCTTAATCCCTGCTCAACCTTTAATTTCTCCCTACCGTAACAACCATGTAGTTAAAGGACTACGGAGGAGAATTTGATATTTAGTCATGGGGACGTTACATCCTCTATTGTTACGTCCTCATAATTGGCAAGATAATGACAATAATGTATGTTTCTTTTGATGGATATGAATAGAAAGCAGAATTTTTCGCACATAAAATTGTGAAAGTCTTTTTTTTTTCTGAAAGGCAACGCTGGTAGGGTTTACATACATGGCAGTCATTCGTTTGCGGAAGTGGTTATTGGAGAACCCGAGGGGAAAGTCCCCTGCTTCACAGACTTCTATCCCTTTCATTTTGGAAGCTTCTAACTGAGTATCCGTCCCAGGGGGGGGTACTCGGGATTTCAAGTGACGGGGATGATCGAAGGATTTTTTTGGGTTTGAAATTTTCGATTCCAGGATTTTTTTGGGTACGAAAATTTGGCTTGGGTAGCTTGATTTGAGTAGGGATTTTTTGGGGGTATTAAAAAGAATCAGATGATGATCGAGGGAAAGGATATATTCAGATGGTATGATGAATAAACAAACACGAATGTTCAATTCCCAATGTTTTTCTTTGTGTTATAGCAGTACCCCTTTTTGGAACTTTTAAGGGCCACAAAATCGGCATGGGATTTTTTAGGGGTTAATTTTTGGTCCAGGGATTTTTGGGGTCTTGACTTTTGGCTCCATTCGATCATCCCCGTCACTTGAAATCCCGAGTACCCCCCCCCCTTGGGTATCTGTACGCATACTGAGCAGGTATTTTTTCTATCATACCCAAAGAATTTCTCGCTTTCCCTTTGATATCGATCAAGGGGGTAAGTATTGGCTTTATTTGTCTAGGAATTCAATCTGAATTGAGTGGAGCCCTCAAACTTTGAGGGGCGATAGCTAAACACTCTGAATTAGAATGTATAAACGCAGCATTCTTTTAGTTCCCACTTAGTTCGTACATTCCACAATTAAGTTTTCGTTTTTGGCTGAAAATTTATCGTTATGTACGTTTTCATTTATTAGCAAATCATAGCTACCGCACTTCTGTTGAGTACTTGAAGCAGGAAATGCAACAGGCGGAAGCTAGCTACATGTCCTTCCCGTTCACTCTATCCCTTTCAGTTTAATCATTTTGAGAAACCATAAGCCTTGAGCAAAAACTTGTGACACACTCCTACATTTATCTGGTAATTTAACTTTAAAAGCTTTTAGATTACAGTTTGCAGCTGCCTAAGTGTTTTATGAATAAAATAATTTTACTTTCTTATCGTTCTTTCCGGGAAATGAACCGGTTTATTCCCCAATGAAATTGAGAGTGTTTTTTTTCCTTGAATGATGCGTCGTTTCGTTATCCCTCTGAAAAAGAATCCTTTTCTGCTTCGTAACAGAAACAGAAGCTAGTAGTAAACAGAGAAAATCTTATCTCAAGAATCGATAACAATTTTCTGAAACTTTCATTAGCAGCAAGTTCGGCAGGGTCCACTCGGAGCTTAGCAGAAAAATGATGCATTGCAAGCAGGGTTTTGCTGAGTTTACAGTATTCATTTTTTCGCTTTAATTCAGTTTTCGATACCTTTATAGTTGATTAACAGTGCTAATTAATAGTACACAAGTACAAGGTGTAGACCGTTTCATAGACAGGTAAAGTGTGACGTCACGTTACCATGGTACTAGGGAGCTTAAACAGCGACGGTGGCGACAGCAACGAGAACGACTAAAAATCGATAGGTTTATATTAGCAAAACAGCAACTTCGCAAGTGCATCACGTTTTTTTTGTACATTTCTTTGCGTCGTTGCACGACTGCGACATTAAACTTTCTAATTTCACGCGCCCGCTTTATGGAGTCGGTGAACACAACACAAAAAGTTTCTTTTTCTTTTTCTTAACCTAGATACGTTCCTTTCGGATTCAACCCCCGAAAATTCGCGAACATTTGACAAATTAAGTGAAATTTGACGTTTTTGGTTTATTGTCATCCAGAAATTTTGCTACCATGGCAACGTGACGTGAAGACTTCTCCTCTCTGTTAAGTCCGGAAGAGCGCAGACCTGATGGCCTGCCTCGTACTCAGGCCCTTCTTGGGATTCTCTGCGGTAATCGTGGCGGAGGGAGTCATGGGAAGCGCGTTTGACTTTTCACAGCGAGCCTTCCCTTGTGCCTTTGCGTTATTAATGCTTTCCTATGATCCTCGCGCCGCGACTACCGTCGAAAATCCCACTAGAAGCGCCTTGGTACTAGGCAGCCTGATGGACTCTCCTGTCGAATCCTTCTCTTCGCCGATTAGCTGCACTCATTGTATCTTTGCTAATAATGCCATTACCAATACTAATTTCAGTTCTATGACTAGAACATCACCACCACCTGTATATACCCCTAGTTGCTTAGACTTTATGTCTGGGACATTTGAGAAATTTTAATATTATATGGCCCCAAGTCAAAAAGCATACTGTTCTTTTTGTGCTATCTCCGAGCCCTTAAAGAAGTGCAAGATTGATCGTATTCCGGACTAAGAATAAATGCAATAAACTCTTTTATTCTTATGCCACTTATTTTGTCAGTCATTGCATTTCAATATCGAGAAATCTGCTTGAAATAATATATCCCGAGGTATGTAGCATTTAAGTGTCCCAAAAATCACGGTACAAGAGATTTGCAACGAAACTTTCGCATATTCTTATTCCGGTTTACGCTCAATCGAACTAGGATCAACAGAATCGAATTTTCTGAGTAACTAACCACCTACCCCTCCCCTAAGTCAATATTGACGCTTACTTCTCCACTGTTTGGGCAAAATTGTGATTTTGAGGAGGGGTAACTGGTCAGTTAACCGTAAACCTCAATTGAACCAATTAATTTCAGAATAATCTGGTCCAATCATATCTCAGTCAACACCATGACGGACAAAACCCTTGAGGATTCACTCCTTCGCCCAGTACAAGAAGAAGGACAGCAGAAAACGCCGGCCACACTTGAAATGCTGGCAGACCTTCTGCACAAGAACCCTGATCTTTTACCCCTGCTACAGACACAAGGACGTGGAAATGCGATAAGTAGAAGGCTACAACCCATCACCAGTGCCTTAGCAGCAGTGGCCTGTGGGAGCTACTCTTGGATCAGGTTTTTGGTGGTGTTCCTGTTAACAGCCCTTTTTAACGTTGTTAACCTGAAGCCAGAAATACCGAAAGAAAGCCGTGTGGTGTTGGACAAGATTGAGAGCGATCTTGGGGACTTAAAGAGGAAACACGAGAAGGTGCTTCATGACAAGACAAGAATGGAAGAAAAGGTATTGCCGCAATTTGCTTTTTTGTTTATTTTTTTCACAAATAAACTTAAAGGCCAGATCAAAAATATTAGGTGAAATATATTTAATTAAGATATACCATAATCGTGCTTTGAAGGTCTGGCAGAATAAAGTACTGCTTTAGTACCATTAAATGAACGTGCATCCAGAATTGTGAAAGATAGAATTTACTCTCTTGTTAGGCAGTCATTGGTTTGAGTCCAAGCAGTCCTAGCTCATGTAAATTTTATTATATCCATTTTGAAGTCACTGGTGATCGCTGCCACAGTCACACTATTTTTTCTCTAGATCGCATCTGTTCTAAATCAGGTCATTCAGGATCTAAATCGCATCATTTCTATTTTAAATTGCACCACTTTCGCTCTATATTGCATCATTTCTGATCAATTCTGTTTCGTGTACGTACGAAGCGAGGTGTATTATACAACACTCCAACGACTCCAAAGGCCCCCCATGGATGAGAATAAACCGTATTTCGACTATAACCCCAACAACGATCGGTGCCTGCCCTCCTTTCATAGAATATCCCAACATTTTCTGAAATTTAGCCAAGTTTTGAAAGGTCAGCATGAAGTAAGGGCTAACTTCACAAACTTCGTAACGAAACGATTTCACATACTGTGCGAGCGTGTGTAAAAAATGACTCCAGTCTCCTGTGTAAGGGTCACACTGGGTATTCCAATAAAACACAAATAATGGGAAATATACTAAACACACCGTATGGACGATGAGAAGTGAGAAAAGGCCTCTCTTCCTCTTTTCCTCCTTCCCATCGTTCCCCGAGCGCTTTTAAGTTTTTTCCTCTCCCCAGCCCCCCAATGACACAATAGGGAGTTTAAGCAGCGATGTTTTTGAGCGTCGCGCGTCAACGGGAACCGAGCCTTTTTCTCCTTTTATGTCTTGATGCTATCAGATTTGTATTGCTAAGTGCCTTTACCCTTATAGAGACGATTTGCCCAAAAATTTGTTCAAAATCACTGCTCAAGAGTGCAAAAAACTCCACTACCGGTTGACGTGCGTCGCTCAAAATCGTCGCTGCTTAATCTCCCTAATGAGGCTCCTCCCCTGAGGAGGAGACAGTGCCCCCCTTTTTGTCTGATTTGCAATGAACTAAGGGGATAAACTACGCATGCTCAATTAGCCACTAGTTTCCCCTTTTGTGTCAAAGGTAGTTATTAGCAATAATTTTGACCACCCACTGTTTATTTATTTGAAAATTATTTAGATCCAAACAGCTGCTGAAAGTTACTACAGGATCTCCCGAAACGATAACCTCGAACTGGAAATGGGACTCGTCAGTTCCACATGTGTTCTGGGCACATGCCAAGATGCTTTGAAGCATTTAGAAACTGAGATCTCTGACCTGCAGCGTGGAACAAAACTAACCCCTACTCATATTCTTAAACAAGTGATCATTATCATGGGGTTAGTCATCGCAGCTGTTTTAACTGTTGGCTGTAAGTTCAATATGTTCTCTTGTATATGGTTTAAGACTTGGGACATTTGAACCCTTCACACGCTTTAAAGGTACGGGTTAAGATGCCAAAGGATAAGGTTTTTTATCATTTATTCAAAAGATTTCTCCGTTTTTTATTGACTCAGATTTCCGTTTAATTCTTTATAACCGCTTGCGTGACCAAATTTGGAAGACGATTGCAATATCCAGTAAAGTGACGTCAATAGTCTAGGATAACGTCAGAAAAAGGCGCGGTTTGCAAAAAGACCTCGGAACAAGGTTGCGTTAAATCGGTTATTTTGGTAAAGCTGGAGAACATGGCGGAAGATCTTACACTTTTTGTGAAGAGGGAATAGCCGAACTACTTCCTGAAAAACATAGCAAACAGAAAAACGACAACTCGGCGGATTTCAACTGCCATTTAACAATTATTCCTCGAGCCCGAATGGGTTCTGAGTCAATAGCCCATGAGGCCGAAGGCCGAATGGACTATTGACTCAAAGGCCATGAGGGCGAGAGGAATCATTTTTTTTAGTAAAATCCAACTAGTTGGACAAAAATATTGAGACAAAACAACTTTAGCTAGTAAAAGCTAGGCTTTAATCCTTTTTTGCCGCCAAAAAGCCGGTCCTTTTCGCTACTAGTGGGCTATAACATATAGCCTAGTAGTAGCCCAACCAATCAGAAAGCAGCATTGATAACAGACCACTAGTTGGACAGTTTTACTAATGAAGAATAGGCCGGTATCCTCTAGTCTAGACGGGCTTGGTGTGGAATCTTGTGTGGTTTTTTTAAAGTTGGAAGAGAAAGCTCTTCCTAAATGTTGACCCAAATCAAAACAGTACCTGCCACATGGAGTAGGTTCATTGAGGGTTCTCCCGCCCCCAGATAGCGAACTTGAATTCGCTCTCGTCAACCGTACCAAGGCAAAGAAAATCGGAGTCTTATTATATTTTATTACCTATCGCAACCCTCATTTGTTGTATGCCTGAAATTATCAGAAAACCTTTAGGTTGAAGACAAACACCTTCTCTTCTAGCACAAAGCGATAACTGTAACTCCAACTGCAAAGAAAAATCACATTTTTTTGGACCGCCCAGAGAGCTTCTCGTTTATAGTCTGATAAAGTTCCCTCTCACTGATTCTAGCTCACTTGAGAATCTGCTTAATGATCGTTGCTGGAATACTATTCGCTGGCAAGAGGAATGCCCAGACTTACTTGAACAACCAGCTGTTGTTGGCCAAATGCGAAGATTTACGTAAGAACGACCTGCGGAAAGCTGAGCAGTTGCATAAAGAGCTGATACGAGATGTGGAGTATAAGCTACCCTCCCTGAAAAAACATCTGGCTGTTTTGGATATTGAGGTGTCGCTGTATACTTCCTTGCACTCCCATTCTGACTGATGGAGTATTCTTTATCCTGGAAATAAAACGCTAAGACGATCAGTAGCTTTAGGACGTTTGTCATGGGCAAATTACAATTTATGACGGCGAATAGTTTTTGTAATCGTACTTAGCTTCTAAGCAGGAGGAATATTCCTTGTACACAAAAACAATTAATGATGCTTTTAATTAACTTTGGTCAACGTGGATTTCTAGTAGTTTCTTAAATAGGTGTCTGAATGACACAAAATGAAGATAGGTAAAATGGACCAATATGGTAGGTCTTGGTAGATTCGTATCGAATATATCGTTAAGTTTCATTGCTTACCAAATCTATACAAAGTCTCAGCTTATATAGTTCAAGCCTGCGATTATAAAAGTAGTGAGTTCCATTGGAATCTCTGGACAGAGTGAAAGAGTTGAACCCTGAGTTGGTGTCAGTAAGGTTCCATTAGTACTGAAAAAGAAAGCACATCTACAAAATTAGCACGATTTTATCAGGCTAGTTACTTGCTATTGCTTACTATAGATCCCCTTCCATACTCGCTTCTCCCCAGTTCTTGCAGTCCTAGAATAGGGAGCTTTAGCAACGACGACGGTGAGAACATCACTCTTAAAATTAATTCGCGTTTTTCAAACTTTGTCGCGTTTATTCCAGTTCGCTGAAAATGTCAAATGTGGGCGAATTTCTCAAAAGGTTGTTTATTGGGGGCCGCAATCAAGTTTAGAAAGACAAAGAAAAATTCATCGTTGCTTGTTTACGCTCTCCGTAAAACGTGCAATTAAAGCATTAGGATTTTCACGTCGTAGCCGTGCAGTGACGGCAAAGAAATGTACTGAAAAGCGTGTCCACGTGAAAAGTTGTTGTTTTTCTTACTAACAACAACAACAACAACAATTTATTGTACTAATAGTAAAAACAGAATTAGAATAAGATTATAACAAGCTAATAATGATTTGTGATACTGGCTGTCTGGAATAACCACGGAGCTAAAAAGACCAGACAGGCAGCCATTTTCTTTACAATGACAAAATTATTTGAAGTCGGTACATGACAAGACGATAGACCTTTGTCACGCGGCGGCCATTTTGTCTCAGGAGATTTAAAAAGCTTTGTTTACGCAAGGCTACAATAGCCTCGTAGAGAGAACAAGGCTAGCCGTGCATAAACAAAGCTTTTTAAATCCTTTGAGAAAAAAAAGGCTGCCGCGTGACAAAGGTCTATTACAAGTACTTGCCGAACTTTCTGAGTACAAAATATAGCGGTCATCTTGCAGCCCGACCGCTGACCTTTTTGACGTTCTCGTTGCCGTCGCCGTCGTGGTTGCTAAAGCTCCCTAGTTTGTTTCATCAAGCCTTTAATGGAGCGTTTTCACATGACGTCACAGTGGCCATATTGTTGTTCCAAAGCAATCCTCTGAGAGTTGACTTCTGTCCTTATCCAAACGATTTCTTTTGTTCCAGTTGTCCTCGTGAGTGAAAACGCTCAATAGGCCATTTGCTAGTTGCCCCAAACCTCTGTTTCAAAGCGAGGCTAAGTGCGAAACCAGTGTATGAATATAAACATCATTTTTACCTGAAAGGTTTTGCACTTAGCTCATTCTCTGCGTCCGACAGAACATTAGGTACCCCCCTTTAACACATACATATTTTTTACCTCTTAGGGCTTTTCTCTCGGCCTAGAAAGGGTATCTTTCCGGACCCCGCTAAATGAAGTTGATATCCATGCAATCCGGATATTTTTTTGTTATTTTATTTTATTGCAAGTAAAACTAAAAGAAGAAAAAAAAATACACTGAGTAAATTGGAAGAAAAAATGACACGGAATAGAAAAATTAAAATAAATAAATAAAAACGTAGCGAATTTACACACTTACATTGCAGTACTTTCATAAATATATTGCAGTACAGCAGTGCCAATTCCATATATCAGTTAAGAGTATAATTAATAATTAATTTTTACATTTCTTTGCTTTCTGTGTGGTGAAAGTAATATAAATATTCATGATAAGTTTAGATAAAACTAATTCCTGTTTTTGGAGTTAGGAGACAAGACTCACCCAGGAAAAGAAGGGTTTTCATTTTTTATATTGCTTTGTGTCCTATTTTCTTTCTTTTTTGGTATATATGTCTCAGATAAAGCAAGAAATTGTTACGATTTGGATTCTTTCAATCTGCATATCCAGACAAAGTTCTTACCTATAAAGCAACAGAAATTATGGGAGATGTGCAAATGGCGAAGTAGACTGCAAAACAGTCGGTTTTTCTCAAAATCGGGGTAGCTTAGGTAAGACTGCTTGCGCGTACTTAAATATGCAAAATGCCGACTCTTTTGCAGTCTATGAAAATGTCCAATGTGAAAAACATCGTTTGATGCTCTGATTGGCTAGAAACCGGTTCCCAAAGTCATGTACTTTTCCGGCTATTGGGTTGTCGACAGCGGAAAGACAGGCGCCATTTGTTCATGCCTTGATCGAAGTGAACCCTTCGGCGTTTAAGATATTCTTCCTCGACTAACTGAAGGTGAGGTATTTTTTACATACGATTATCGCATGGTAGCCCGAATTGACAAAAAATTGGCTAATTTCATATCACGCTCACTGCTTCAAATAGAGAATAGAAAGTGGCAGTAATTGCCAGTTCGCTAAAATGTATAGTGCCAAGTAATGAAAGAAACGACTGGCAACTTTGAAAGAAGTTCTTGTTACTAGAGATTCGCCAAGACTCAACCAGGACTCAACCAGCTCTTAAAACACAGACGATACTTCTGCCTTTTTCTCACTGGATGTTTTCTCGGAGAGGAACCTCACAGAGGGTTTACTAGAAAAGAGTCCACATCCTTTTGTACACGCTGACGGACGGAGTTGCAGTGCTTTAGCCGCTGGTCCGATTAAGTGTTCGGCAAGATCTCCGTTCTTTAAAATCAGACAGAAAGCAGAGATTTGTCTTATAATAAAGAGTCTTGAATGAAGACGTGTTGGTAAAATTGCGCGAATATTTTTAAACGCAAGCATCGCTTCAATAATATTTTGCAACCAACATAGACGCCATTTTGAATTTTAGCGCGCAATGCTTGATGGGAAGAGTGGTTCAGATTGGTCCAGATCAGGAGCCCATCAAATGGAGCCTCCATCTCCCTTACAAGCCCTTGGAGTCAACCCTTTCCCGAGTAGATTTATAATTAGAACGGTTCCCAGGGGAGACTTCGCGCGCCGACGGTGGGAAGAGCCAATCACAAAGACTAAATGACACTGCTATTGTACTTCATGAAACAGCAGGAAATCCGGTGCTGACAGGCCAAACAAAATCATAAGCTAGTGAAACGTGACTTTAGTTTTCATCCCTAAGAGATTTTCTTTCTTTTCTTTCTAGCGGGTAGATTATACTGTGGAGAGTTTTAAACTCTGACTATGTTAATCTTAATTTTGGTTGCTTGTCTCACATTTATAAGAGGCCATGAAGCTGGTCTGTTACATGCGTAATGATTAACTACTACCTGCAGTCTGTAGTTCTGACAGGATTCGTTTTAGCCAATTTTTTTTAGCGTTAAGGTTCTTATTTCGGCTAAATGACTCAATATTAATCAAATTTCTAGTATTTCAAGTTTTTCTCCGAAATGCGTTTGTCTGAATAAATACTGTGGTTGTTTTGTCCGTCAGTTAGTGTGATGATTCCCTGCTATGTTTTGTAACGCCGAGCCAAGCCATTGTTTTCTCGCAAAAAAGTGATCTACAGATGATATGCGAATTCGTAGGAAAGAATTGGCCTAAACTTCTACATTAATTGCTGAGAATTCTCCTGTTAGTCAGTCATAATTCTTTGGGCGCAGATACAATCCATTTTGTTTTTCTTGAGATAAGAGGGTCTTTGGACTGGAGTGCGATGTCACAAATTCCTCGGCTTTAGCAAATTACTTTTGAGTTAGCTTCACGGTTGAGCAACTGTTGTCTTCTGTTCAACTTTTAAGTGCCAGTTTTATCAGGCAACTCTCATGGTGACACAAGTCAGTTGTAAAGGAAGACTGCAATTTTTCTGAAGGATTCCTCCTTAGTTGCTACTTAGGTCATCGCTTTTGCACGCGGTGCTTAACTGCGAAATCCACTCCACGGCGATAACAAAAATCAAATGATCCTGGCACTTTTTCGGCGCTGATCATCGAAAAGTTTCAAATCGTCCACAGAACGCTTAATCGTCGACTCTTTTCAAGGTGCATGCTTAAATGTGGGATGTATGACGGCAAAAAAAAAACAAACAAACACTCGCAAAGAACCTTTCCGTGATCCTCAGTTCGCTGCCTTTGTCCCATCGCTTCATGCTTAGTCTTAGTCGGGTAATTTATTAACTTTTAGTTCATCCCAGATCCCAGCGGCTGTAAAACTGTAAAAATGGACGTATAGTAAAAAAGGAAAACGGCCGAAGGACGGGCTTCTGAGTTCGACTTCATCCAACTTCATTTTTTTCACGGTGACATACGAGACTCACGGAAATATGACACTTTTCGCGGGAAACAAGCCGTTCTATTTATAAATCTACTCGGGAAAGGGTTGACTCAAGAATTTAATGGAGATGGAGGCTCCATTTGATGGGCTCCTGTCCAGATCTAGACTCCCTGCTTGAATTCCCGAACTGTTGAATTCCGGGAAAAAAATGCTCGAAAATTTGGGTATACCTAGCGAGAACTCCTCGCGAGATTGTTCTCTTTTTAGAATTTCGGAAATACTTTTCCATTCTCCACTGGAAGCTGCCTGAAATTCAAACCGGAAGTTTTGGCTTCTTTGCAGGTTAAATGGAAAGCGTGGTTTTTTTAACTTAAAATTAAATGAATCATTTCTCCGAAAATTATTTTATGCCATACATTGTTTCCGCTCCGATGCATGTTCTCAGAAACAAAACAAAAAACAATCAAAAGACATTTGAACATTCGATGTTTTGTTTTTACATTGCAGTGAAGAGTTCTGAAAAAAGAGAAAACACTAGGCCTCTTTAATGCATATAACGGCGGCTACAATATTTAGGAGTTTAATACTTCTGAAGATCTGGTGTTAAAACACTTGAGTCCTCTAAACCTTTACGTTAGTAAGGCTGTAGACCAAATGAGGAAAAATTGTCCAAAAATCAAGGTGTTTTATCGTTCTCAATCATATCCACTTTTCTCTAACCTACCAGCCGTTGCCCTTAGATCTTCTTAGTCAAGGAAACGGAAGAAGGAAAATCCTCGCTCCTCCCGACTTAGTATAAATTGAGGAGCCATTGCTTGCAGGGAATTTATTCTCAGGACCTTTGTGAATGATAAACAGTGATATCAAAAGGATAGATTAGAAAAGACCCTAACACTGCCCCCTCCCTCCCCACACAAAACAAAAAACATTTGAAGCCATCCAGCTTCCTTTCGCTGAAAATGAGTCTTCGTATATCGCAACTTGTTTTCTTGGAAACATACTTAATCGTAGATGTAAAGTTATAGCAGCTGTTTGTTTGTATAATGATACAATGAGTACTTGAAGGGAAAAATCCCTATCGATGGACCTCCAGTGCCCTTTCAATTTGAACAAACGCTTTTAAGTATCCTGCTATAACAAGCGGGGCTTTGAAAGTAGTTCGAAAATTGAGGAGCCATAACCTTTACTTCCTCAGTGTTG